CAATACTTTACTGCTGCCCAAAATGTTTAGACAGTTCTGTTCATGGTAACAACATCATGGTGGACAGGAATCATTACGGGAGGTGAGAGATGATCTTTATTTTGCTAGAGCAAAGAAAATCCTAGCGCATACTCTGCTCTTGTTATAACATTGCTAAAGCCCTGATGTCCTAATCCAATTGATGCCACATTTATTTGATGAATCAGAAAAGCACCCCCCTGTGTAATCTGGAAAAGGAAATGCTGCTTTATGACACTGTGGAAACATGAGATTTTAACCATTATTACAATAATTGTCCCTTACGAAAATTAACAGTTTGCAATGTTGTGTTTCTGCCTTTAAGGACACAAATAAAGTGTAAGAACCTTCTTATTGTACCGTCTACTGTGTACTGCATTACACCGCTCAGCCTTGACCTTCTCAGCATCAACCTACCTGAATGCCCTGCAAATAGTACTATACACATGCAGCCAAAAGAGGAGGCTGGACCTGTAAGTGCATGACCTTGAAACATGCTGACAGGGAGGAGGATGTTGAAAAAGTCTGTGAGAGACAGAGACACAGCCTTAGCTTGCTTCATCAGAGTGAAACTTGGGAAGCTTCAGGGTAAGAGCAGAGGCTGTATTTATTCCAGTCTCATCAGTGACAGAGTACATACATACACATATGTACATGTAGCTATAGATGGAAATATGGATATATGCTTGCTCTCAGAGAGGTCACAGGTGCCTGAATCTGCTCTCGCTTCTGGGACCACTGGCAAACACGTCACGATCTAGCTCTCTCTGTACAGAGTAAAATAAGTAAATAAATATATACACACACACACGCACATATATATAAATAGAAGAAATATATAGATACATGTTAAAACATAAATCAGTTTCCAGAAGTATTTTTGTCTCAAGTGATAATCAAAATCTCTCACAACCTTTTATAACAGGAAAGCTATAAATATGCCCAATGCAGTATCTGAATACAGTTTTCAGAAAGCTGTCAGTTGTTCCTTACAATTCTGCAGGAAAATAAAAGGTTTGTTGAAAACAAGGGGAGATTTGCCTAAGAAATAACAGTGAAATACACAGCACAAGTCTGCATCTTGGATAAGAGATCAGTAGGGGAATTGGAGTTGATTTTTTTTTTTTTTTTGGCTCTGGATCAAGTATTACAGACCTGCATCTGTGAGAGAGATTGCAGTGATTACAGAAAATAACACAAAGTCAAGGTTTTCTTGCAGCCATTATTATGACTGCTGTACAGCGTACTCCTTCAGTTTGAGACCAGCTGTTGCAATTACAGAAAAGAGAAGTATCAAAATTGGAAGGACAGAATAAAACTCTTGAGGTTTTCATGTCTCATATAAGTATATCCTTGTAGAGTCTGTTTTAAGAAGGAAGAAGTCACCTGGGCTGAAATAATCCTATACATCCTTTGAGTGATTAAACACTGCTGTTATTACTACTTTATAAACTGAGTGACAAACCAGTTGAAAACGTGGTTTATACCAACCAGAAATACGCCTTTCAAGTCATTTCAACAACAGATTAAAGTACTGGTGGCTGGCTCATTTATTGCTATTATCTGCATACCTTGATCACAGACCAGGAGCCCGCTGGACTAGAGCATGTAGAAACCCAGGCAAAACAATAGCTCCTTCTGCACAGGATTTAGTACAGGATTAAATGCAAGAGATGGGAGAACACTAGAAAGGAGGAGGACTGAATAAATCAGCACTGGAGGCAGAGATCGCAAAACGCAAATGTCCTACCCTGTTTTTTGTACAATTCATAGTGAATTGTACAAAGGAGAGTTTTAAAGAGGAATGTGGAGGAAGATATGACCTAGTTTTATGAGTTTTTACAAGGAGCTTCTTCCAAACACAAAGAAAACACTGGAGGCAGTTTAAAAAATGTGTGTTTGAAAAGTGGCTGTAGTATTTGATCTGCCTTCTACACATTGGCAGCCTGTAAAATGGGAATCATTTAGAAGAAAAACAATTCCAGGATCAGCTTCACACTGCCATAGCACCATGGCCTTAGAGAAACCTGCATTTTTCTTTATTTCTAGTAGAATAGCTATCCATACCTACTCTGCAGGGTTATAAACCTGAGAAATTATATATGTATAGTTTGCCTTAAATATGTTTTTAATGAAGGCTTCTTGTAAGTATAGTAATCTTCAGACAGCTTTTTTTTATATATGTGGGTGCATGCATGGGTGCGTGGTCTCATTTGAAAGCACTATCAGACAAAGTGGTGTGTTCAGTGTCTCCCTATACTGGACTTCCATCTCCAAAAAAGTGACTAAACTAAAAATTATATTAAAGGCTATACCTCTTTCAAGTTTTGCAATAACATATGGTAGAACAGTTGTTGTTCTTCAATTTTATAATGTTTCTGGTCGATATGAGTGAAGTAGGAGGTGGAGGTTGGATGCAAAAATTTTGTTAAGGCCCCAAAAGAGCCTCTTCCCTGCAGACTGCAAAAGTTCTGCTTCTCAGTCAGAATCCTTCCTCTGCCCTGAATTTCTCAAGGTGTTGCAATACACGTCCTGATACAATAGCTGTATGCAGGGCAGAACACTTTTTCCTATAAATCTTAAAATTTATAGAAACCTGAAAAGGTACACCTCTTCCATCAGAACATTACTCTTCCACTTCCCCCAATGCACATATGCTCCCTTTCCTGCTCCCATCGACTGTTGAAAATTTGAGAGTCTTTGACAAGGGTTACGGGTGTCTTTTGTGTATCACATAATATCTTGTCTTTTTTCTACTGAATAGCTAAATTAGCTATGTGTTTGTTGGAAATCATTCATATGCTGCATATTTAGAGTTTTGCCCAAAGTATTAATGCCCAGAAACTAAAATTGGAAGTCAGACATCTGCAGTATTGGCAGGATGGGTCTTTTAAGAGAAACATAATAAACGTAATCACACTGAGATTGTTTCCATGGCACGCTGACTTCCCTGACTTCCATGACTATGTGATCATGTTAGCAGTTTGACAGATTGTATTGGGTTTACGTGGCAAGGTTTTGGTAACGGGGGCTGCAGGGGTGGCGTCTGTGAGAAGCCCCCAGGAGCCGCCCCCACGTCAGACAGAGCCAATGCCAGCTGGCTCCAAGAGAGACCTGCTGCTGGCCAAAGCTGAGCCCAGGAGTGATGTTGGTAACTGCCTGTGTGATAGAAAGGGTAAAAAATGCTGTGCAACAGCTGGGAGAGAGGAGTGAGAAAACATGAGAGAGAGAACTCTGCAGACACCAAGGTCGGTGAAGAAGGAGGGGAGGAGGTGCTCCAGGCACCAGAGCAGAGATTCCCTTGCAGCCTGTGGAGAAGATCATGGTGAAGCAGGCTGTCCCCCTGCAGTCCATGGAAGACCACAGTGGAGCAGATATCCACCTGCAGCCCGTGGAGGACCCCATGCTGGAGCAGGTGGATATGCCCTGAAGGAAGCTGCAGCCCATGGAGAGCCCACACTGGAGCAGGCTCTTGGCAGGACCTGCAGTCCATGGAGAGGAGCCCACACGGGAGCGGGTTTTCAGGCAGGAACTGTGTCCCATGGGGGACCCACACTGGAGCAGTCCATTCCTGAAGAACTACAGCCCATGGAAAGGACCCACGCTGGAGCAGTTCATGAAGGACTGTATCCCGTGGGAAGGACCCCACACTGGAGCAGGAGAAGAATGTGAGAAGGAAGGAGCAGCAGAAATGGTTAAGGACTGACTGCAACCCCCATTCCCCATTCCCCTGCACCGCTTGGGGGGAGGAGGTAGAAGAGTGAGGAGTGAAGTTGAGCCTGGGAAGAAAGGGGGTGGTTTGAGGGGAAGGTCTCACTATCCTGCTCTGTTATTAATTCGCAATAAATTAAATTAATCTTCCCCAAGTTCAGTCTGTTTTCCCCTGATGGTAATTGGTCAGCAATCTCCCTGTCCTTATCTTGACTCACAAGCTTATCATCTCATTTTCTCCCCCTGTCTTGTTGAGGAGGGGGAGTGAGAGAGCGGCTGGGTGGGTACCTGACAGGCAGCCAAGGTCAACCCACCACAGAGGTTAAAATTACAGGTGTGAAATGATGAGGTCTCAGATTTTGACACTTCTTTTTTTTCTTGTGGTAGACTTTCAGAGTTCAGAGCCTCTGCACTCTTACTGAGGGCAATTTAAACTCCAATTGGGAATGCATTATGGTTTCTGTTAATGCAATAAAACATCACAAGTTACAGTGGTCTTTGTAGTGAAGCTTAGTTATACTCGGTAATAAGCTCTAACTCACTGGAAATCATACAGATTGGAAGACAGATAGGTGATAAAAATGTTACACAACCTCCTACTTGCATCCTTACCTTTCTTTCTTTCTTTTTCAATCTTTATATGTCATGTAAATATGACTTAAGAATACAACTACACTTCTATTGGTTTATCGGTCAATAATGTTTCAGATCTGAATACAGTTTACCAGCACTTGCTGTAGATTAAGAATGCAGTTAATTCCATTCATTCACCCCTCATAAATGTAGATTCTGGATGTATCTAGTAATGACGTAGTCAATTCTTGGTGCTGTTTGCTGCTTATGGTGGAGCCTACCATTAGCTTAAGTGATGCAGCAAGGGCAGTCAGTGACCCTTAGGAACTGCCAGCTGTTCATTAACAATCCGAACGTGTGACTTGCGGCACTCTGCACCACAGCTGTAGTTCAGTGAACTAATAGCTAATACATTAAGTCACTCTAAAGGATCTAATTCCTCACAAATAAAACAAATGTAAATGCCATCTCAGCCATGATGGAAGCTGTTGCTGGCCAGAACATTGACCTTTAATTTATTTTGTTTGCAAGGAATTCACTCATTACAAATGTATTTGTATATTTGTTGTTTCTTTGATTAACTGAAATGTTGTGTATATGCAGAAATAAAGTATTAGGCTTCGAGGAAAAGTTACAGAAAAAAGCCTGATGCCTTGTGCCTGGGGAAGTTTCAGCACCTAGATTCTACCTATGCCGTATTTGACATTTCTAGATCCTTGTGTAAGGGCTATAAACTTTCTGCACCCAAGTTCTGTCCTTGGAAAGTGGGTTACAGAGTCAAGCTATTTTTTTTTGTCGTTGACTTCAACATTAAAAGTGTAAGAAAACAAAACGTTACTTGCTCTGTTTTCAGAGACAAGGGTTAGCCTGTAAAATCAGCTTCCCTGCATGACTCATAAAATGTATTTCTGAACAGGGAAGAATTTTCTCTTTAGCATTCTTGGGTGACTTTTCCTAGTTTGTTCCACTGTGTGCAATGGTTTTCTTTCTGCTTTTATTTTATACAGGGGGATCAGGGTATTCCAGGGGACAAAGGTCCACAAGGCGAACGAGGGAAACCTGGCCCATCAGGAGAAAAGGGGGATGTGGGTCCTATTGGGCCACCGGGAGACAGAGGCTATCCAGGATCACCAGGTCATCAAGGTCCCCCGGGTTCACCAGGACCCCCAGGGTTTCCAGTAAGTAAATACAAGTTTTTCTTGGTTGCTTGTGAATTCAGATGATGTGGAGGTAGCATGTGCTGAGCAGTGGAAATTCAAGCAAGCAATACCACAGTATCAGAAAAACTAAGATATCTCTGAGATAATTTCAGTATTCAGTTAAGAGGTGGGAAAAAATATACCCAGGTGATCAAGCAGTTATTTTAATTTTTTTTTTAAACATATGCTATGGATAAACTTTACTTACTTATTTCTTTAGCTCCTGACAAATCAATATGGCTATTCAATACTGTTAATTTTCAAGTTTTCCATAAGCTTAAGAGCTAAAGTGTAAGTCTTTGCAACTGAGAAAGAAAAGGAGGCAGACAAAAATGATTCTTAATAAAAAGAAAATCAGCATTTAAAAAGACAATGAAATGCTGCGTCAGTTGTAGATATCTTGGTTTGTCTCCATGTGCACACAGGCACACATCCATGTTTTGGGTTCTTTTTACCCTCAATCAAGTGGGGTAAAGCTCTAAAAAACTTTTTCAGTGAAGTTATTCGTCCTGTGATGCAGTTTTAGTTGGTCAGCTGTGCATCAAAGCAGTTAGTCCTTAGAGGGGGTAAGAAGCTGGCAAATGCTATGCAAGTCAAGTAAAGCATAGCGGTGTCACTGGACATCCTTACTGTCTTATGCAAATTAATTTCCATACATATAACATGCTGGTCATCTTGGCAGTTGGGAGTGCCTCTTCCACTTCATGGTATTAGTGGTCTTTATAATATAATGTATTTGCAATAAAGTGGCCTTTGCAGTTCAGTAAATAACACAAATATATTAAAATATTTAATTTTTGGTGAAAGCTTTACATTTTTAATGCTAATTTCAGCATTTTTTAAATTTTGTAGCATCATAAAGTGCCCTCTGTATGTTTCTTCTGATACATATCACCTTTTTTTTTTCCCTCATCAGGCTGATACTGTTTCACTTGAAGAAATAAAAAAATATATCAAACAAGAGGTTCTTAAGGTTTTTGAAGGTAAGAAAATGAAGTATTATACAACTAAAAGTAAATCTTAAATTCTGTTCTAAATGTTTTACGTCAGTTCAGCCTTTATATACATTTCTTTACATGTCATCTAACTTAGCAGCTGCCTTGTTGCTGTAGCTATGTTTAACTGTTAAGTCTACTTAATATAATTATGTTCGAACAATTGTAAATTATAACCAGAGTATTTCCTTATGTAAAAGATTAGCATTAAAAGGTAGTTCGCTCCAAATCATAATATCAAACATATGTATGTATCATTGTAGATACATATATGTATCATATATCATTGCAGATACATATGTATCTACAACGTATCATTAAGACATTGAAGATTTATTAAAGTGGGGAGAACAGAAATATCTAATTATTTTGGCCGCTTAGTGGATGACTTATCTAAACGAAAGAACGGCTTGACCGCTTTCAGTCGTGCAGGTCTAAACTGCTGTGCATTTTCAGCAAACATCCCTGCTGAGCTCCAAAGCTCCCTTGCAGACCACCGTCTTCTGGCATGGTTTTAGGCAAGTACCAGATTCAGGCAAGGCCTTTGTACTATGTAAGCTTTCTTAGGTGTTTCCTTACTCTGAAAAGGAAATATTTTTCCTCCCCAGCGGTTTCTTAGTCAGGGTTGAAAAGCTGTGACTCAGGTAGGTGTCTCAAACAAGCTTCTGCTCGAGCACCTCTTCACAGTAGCTTCTCTTCCATTGCAAAATGCATTTCTTATGTCTGCAATATGCTTAGCTATTTTGTCATTAATATTTGTGGATACAAAACCTTTTCTCTTTTAGAGATAAAAGAAATCATATGAAGTTTGAGACTTTTTAAACTGTTCAGGCAGTTTTTCACTTTATAACAAGGCTATGATTTTGTGTATTTTCACCCTTCCCCAGACTGCTAGCCCTTAGGAGTTCAACCTACTATGTATTTCAAGAGCAGTTTGTTGGCTGAAGTTACCTCCTTTTCCCCTTCAAATGGAATGGTAACAAGTTGTCCTGGTTTCGGCAGGGATAGAGTTAATTTCCTTCCTAGTAGCTGGTACAGTGCTGTGTTTTGGATTTAGGACCAGAACAAAGTTGATAGCACTGATGTTTTAGTTGTTGCTAGGTAATGCTTACACTAGCCAAGGACTTTTTAGTTTCCCATGCTCTACCGACTGAGAAGGCTGCAGGTGCACAAGAAGGTGGGAGGGGGCACAGCCAAACTGGCCAAAGGGACATTCCATACCATGTGACGTCATGCTCAGTACATAAATTGGGGGAAGCTGGCCGGGGGGGCCGCTGCTCGGGGACTGGCTGGGCATCGGTCGGCGGGTGGTGAGCAATTGTACTGTGCATCACTTGCTTTGTGTGTTATTATTATCATCATCATATTATTATCATTTTATTTCAATTATTAAACTGTTTTTATCTCAACCCATGAGTTTTTCTCACTTGTGCTCTTCCAGTTCTCTCCCCCATCCCACCGGGTGGGGGGGAGTGAGCGAGTGGCTGCGTGGTGCTTAGTTGCCAACTGAGGTTAAACCACGACACAAGTATTTAGCCTATTCATAAAAAGAAAGTATTAAAAGGTGTCCTGCCTACAGGGAATATTGGTTTTTGTCTTTATAGCTATTCCGTTTTCTACACCTCACTAGTGTTCCCACAGATCTTCTATTTTTGGCTTTGTTTCACTTTGCCTATTTTGTATCACCTTGCTTATTTTTTCTTTGATACCCACTCTTCTCTTTACTCTAATTTTTTTCTCGAATCTTAAAACTCCACCACAGTAAATACCTGCTAAATTGTGGAATGCTTATTTAGGTTTTTTAATCCACTATAAATGAGACAGATTCAAGGTTAGTACCTATTTTGCCTACCTCTAAGGAGCACTGAAATGTTACCAAGTGCACTTTATTCCACCAGCATGAACAGTTCATGCTGAAATCTCTGCAATTAATAACGTTTGCTGAGCACTTACAGGTTTTTTCACAACTGTTTTCAGGGTTTCAGCACATTCCAAGAACTGTCCACAGTATTTAAGCTCTACTTTGCAACTTAATACGAGTTACAAACATATAAGGTAGCCCTTCATAGGGGTGTTAAGTACTAATTATTCTGTGTTCACGTATTTTAACAGGAGTCAGAAGTCATTTGAAATAATTGGAATACATTAGTAAGAGAGAGTAGTGATCAAAACTTTAGTACAAATTCGTTCAGATTATTTCAAAGGGTAGAGACTCAGACATGAGTCTGAGTTGGAACTGAAGGCCTCAGTACTTACAGGAGCATTTAATACCTTGACATTTAGAAGGATTAAACACCTTACTTCCAGAAACTTACTTCAGCTGGGACTTTGGGATTTATTTATTTTCCCGTATTTTGCTAGCAGATTTCTTACCCACCTTTTCTTGTGTCCTTTGTTAATGAAGAAAGGATGGCTCAGTTTGTATCCCAGCTGAAGCTGCCTGCTGCAATGCTTGCCTCCCAAGCCCATGGAAAACCAGGGCCCCCAGGAAAAGATGGGTTACCAGGGCCACCAGGAAAGGATGGTTTGCCAGGACCACCCGGAGATCGTGGAGTTCAAGGTAGGAATTCCAAAAAATGTTCCCATGAATTGTATCTTGAAATCTTCATACACTTGCTAATGATTATTAAATAAGCCAGGATTACCTATCTAGCTTCCTAATGATTAACTTTTAAAACTGTACTTATGTTTTTCCAGACTAGATCTAAATATTAACCCATAGTAAATGTGTGGACTTTACTGATTAAAAACTCCTAATCAGTGCATTTTATTCTAATAAGTGATAAAGTTAATTACTGACAGATATCTAAAGCTGACAGATTTCTAGACCACTGTAACAGGTGTTTTTTTTCTCCAAAATACTTTAACAAGGAAGAAAAGCTATGCCAGCACTCTAATGTAACTATTTAGATCCTGTTCCACATTGAGAGACTATCTTATTTAAGAAACAAAATATGATCTCAAAGTCTGAGTGCTGTCAGCTCTGATCCTGAGGCAACACAGGGGAGGAAAAACTGAAGGCAAATATTATTCTTTAAGAAGCAGTGAAAACTGAAATATTACCACATGAATTCTTCTTACAGTGAAGTAATCTGTTTTCACAAATCAGTTTCAGGGTAATCAGCTTTTCAGTATACCCCAAACGGTAATTTGTACATTGCAATGCATTTGGACAATATAGGACTCTCGTTTCACTGAACTGTCTTTTCACTGCAAAATTAGCTTCAAGGGATCCAGGCTCATTGTAGAGAGACTGTAGAGTCAGCCTCTCAGAGATTAAAAGGAAGAGGAGAACAGAATAAAAGGAAAAAAGAATTTGTCAATGAATAATATTTTGTGGGTGGGTAATATGTAATTTGCAGTTTATCTGTAGGTAGTTCTTTATTATCTTTTGTTAGTTTGGTCTGCTCTGGAGTCAGAGCAAGTCAGACTGGAATGAAGAACATGAGAGCAAAGCTGAAGATGTGTGGATCCTAAAGCTATCAGAAGAATAAAGACTTACTAACATTGATAAGCGCAAACCCCTGACAGAAGCTTGAAAAATGTGATGAGCTCAGAATGAGAAGAACAAGAATAAAGGATCAAGGAAAACAGTAAAAGGCTTAGAATCTTACAACACTGGCTTCATCATTACCTAAAGATTCAGATCACTGTAAACAGTCAACTTTATGTCAGTGCCAGATTGTTCAATGATGATGTATGTGGTGGATAGTCTCAGATGCTTTTGGGAAGTGGAACGTTGTACTAGGCTTCATTTCCAGCTAGTCAGCATCAAGACTAAAGATGATAGCTATGTTTGAAAAAAAAAAATAAAGCTGCTTTTTCATGCCTTATGCTTAAGTAAAAGTAGTGCCCCATGTACGCAGGATTTCCATTTATTTTACTGATATGCTTAATACTCTTTTTTGATTAGTAAAAGGTAAGCTAAGAGAGAAACATTTACTTCTCTGATACCTCAAAAGATATATGAAATTATATTTCCAAGGAAAGAAAACCAAAAACTTGTCTTGCCTCCTTTTTACACTGAGTAAGAGAGAGTCCCGTGAGAGAAGCACACTTACAAATACCTTTCATGCCTTTCCCAGTTGTGCCTGTGCATGTTATTGTTTTGTGCCAACAGTAAAAAGAAACTCAAATCTCTGAGCAGATTGAAAAGTATCCTTCCGTATTCCAGTTTATTTTCAGCCATAAAAGACACAGCAGACAAGACTTCTTCGAGAAGCATGTTACGTGCATGTGTGGCTCAGACCATCAAGGTAGCATGCTGTGTGCACGTATGCCCAAGTCATAATGTGCATTGGAGAGGATATTTGGTATTGACTGCCAGATATTCCTTATTATAATTCTCACTTGGTTGTAGCTCAAATTGCCAACTCCAAGGTTTTGCTGTGTATAGTGATATACATTTGGGCTGGCGGAATGAAACAGTAACTTGTCCCATAGAGCCAGTGAAAAGAAGTAGATACTGTTGGAGAGCAATTAACAGGACCTCTACAAACACCTCCAGAGCAGTTTGCGATGCTGCGTGCTGAGCAGAGAGCCTGCTAGAGCCAGCCGGCGGGATGGGCGGGAGTTACCGTCTGCCCAAGGAGGTGCTTGACTTACGGCTTCGCTGGGGTCCCTCTGTACGCCTCGAGTATGGTGCCAGTTCCCCCAGGAACTGGTCTGGCCTGACCCGGCCAGATTCCACCAGAGCCTCCTTCTGCACGGCAAACCAATAGGTAGGGGTTAGTCCCAGAAGCAGAAAACATAGATACTAACTTTTGGAAGTGTAGACATGGCGTTCAAAAAGTGTATTGAAGGAATTGCTAGACTCTTGGGCATAGAGTCATTCATTTCTAATGAAGTCCGGATACCTGCTGGCCTTCAGCAAATTTGTTCATAGTGTACCTCAGGTACTTCCCAGTGGTTCAGGTACAAATAATTTTGATTTTATATGGTGATTTCAGTAAAAATATAGCATGCAAACAAAAAACAAGAAAGAACTGCAACATAAATTATGAAATATGCAATTGGTATGTAAACACACTTCGTATAATAGTGATTGGAAGGTTTTTGGGTTTTATATATATATATCTATCTTCATTTAAAAAAAAATAACCTATGACATATGCACCAGCAAGCTGATACTGTGAGGCAGTGTTACCAGTGAAATGTACAGCATCTGCTTAAGGGGGAGCAGAGGAACTTGTTTACTCTGTATGCATTTTAAAGGATGCTAATGTCTCGTAGAGAAACAGGAGGTTTATTTCAAGACTTTCTTGACAAGCTATCGCAATGTCATGCATTTGCGAAGTCAGTCAGATTGTCGTGTGTTAGCGGATCTAGCTCAATTAATTCCACTGACTTAACTGGATTTTTAAAACTATAATAGAAAGTGAATTTTGGTCCATTAGACCAAATTCACCTTGGGATAATTTTGCAATCCAGAGATGCATATTATCCTTGACGTTAATATGACTATTGATTTTCTCTCAATAGAGAGAAGAAGGTTTCATCATAGTTAAACTTCACTCTTTCTATCAAATTAAGAGTTTTTTATAGGTTCTCGTAACTCATGGTAGCCTGGAGGAATCAGGCATCACAGCTCAGGGAAGAAAAATACCATGTGATGAACAGTCAAAACTCTTATCTTTATTGCTGATTTCTGTTGTAAAATTTCTCTCTCTTACTATTAATTTGCATGGTGGGAGCAGCTAGAAACCTTGGCTGACATCAGGAACCCATTGTAGTGGATGTTGTCCAGACACGGTCACTCTTCCAAAATAGCTGCACTGGTTTCAAGCATTACCTCCTGTAAACTGTTCTTTGCTGCGGAGGGTGAAGTTAACCTGTTTTACTTTGATCTGAAACTCAGTTACTACCTCTCAGCTGAGAGGGCTGTAAGACACAGAAGGAATTCAGAATATACACTGGAGGCTGGATGAGAGGGCTTGCTCTCAGCACCCTTCCTGTTGCTTTGCAGTTGTTTGTTTTTAAGAACGCAGAGTATTTGCACAGTAAAACACAGTGGATACTTCGGTCTCGTTGTTCCTTGTCATGGTAATGTGTTTGCCTCATATTTGTGTTAAAGAACCTCAGATTTCTCTAGATACTTGACATGCTAGTTCCAGATGCTGCATTATCCATGCAGCTAGAAGAGGGTCTCCATGATATAGGTGGAATACCTTTTGGATCTGTTTAAATGAGAGAACCTTTTACCTCCAAGTTCATTGAGGTGAACTTGCATCGTTTCCAAGTAGAGCTAAGGGTGTTGCGGTAGCGATGCTTCTGACTGTGGTGTTTGTGGAGAGCACCAAACCGAGAGCTGTATTTTAGCCATCACCACTCATCTATGAGCAGAAGAAAGCTTATCCGGTTGAACACATACTTGCTACATACTGCTACCGCGTGTTTACCGTACTACCCACGTTGGGTACATGTTTACATACCACAACTTTTGGGTTGCAGAAATCCTAGCAAAACTTCTGGAACCCGAGTGAAAGGCTTTGCTAAAGCAGTTGCCTTTTGAATTAAGCAGGCACCTCTTACTGGAATTGAATTCTACCAGTAAAAATAGACAGTATCTTATATGTGCCTTTATGTTAAAAACAATAAATCAAAATCTGATTTACGTATATGGTAATATTTTCCTTTGACTGTGTATGAGTTTGTCACTTTAAGCTCAGAGAGAAGGTGATATTATCCTCTAGAAGTGTAATCATGGCCCTACTTCTGAGCAAAATATACCTCATTAAAAATCAAATATTTTCCTGCCAGAATTACAAATTGCATTGTTCGGACTGTTTACATATATCCCTGTTTACTAATATGCTTACACCCTGTTAAATAAAGCCTTATTTTTAGAAAAGGTATCTAGGAGTTTTTTATTAAACTTCAGTGTCAACAGAACTTACCTGCCACTGTGTACAAACTACACCTTTGCATGTGTATTCAGATACAGCCAATAGTGGTTTACACTACCCCGGATCGTATATTTGCATTGGCAGGCTTCCCTTTGTCCTATTGTGGGGTTTGTTTTTTTTTTCCTTATTGTCTTGAATTCCAGTGATGTTTACAGGATCTTTCAGTCTATCTCAGTCCCTTTTCAATTATGATGTCTCAGATACCTACAGTAATGGTTATCATGGAGCCTGTAAATGTGATACATCGTAAATGTGATTTCTCTCTTTTCCCCATAACTAAAGAAATGCAAAACAAATGATTAGTGGCAGCACTGCTTTGCAAAATTACAATTAACTGGATTTGTAGTGAGAAATGTACTGTAACTATCTATTGTAAATTAAGAAACATAGAGATATATATAATAAATAGGAAATGTAATAGATCCTGTGGTTGTATGATTGAGCTTCTCAAACAGTAGCAACTACTATGCGTTACACAAGATTTTCAGAGCAAACCAACTTGATGTAGTTACAAATACTACTATGGTCATTAAAGAGCAAAATCAAGATTCACAGTTGAATACAACACCTGCATATTCCCTTTTCTGAGTCTTTATAGCTTGTGTGCTTATATGCCTTGTACAATTCTGCTTAACACAACTCAGTGACCAGAATGCATGATTAATATTGTTTGTTTCTCTGTGAGCTTTTGAACAGTTGATTTCCTTTTGTTATGTTATGCATGTCACTCTGCATGCATTTTCTAACGTTTTTGCCTCACTGTAATTTCCTTGTTGGGGTGCCGAGAGAAGAGAAAGATAATTGATGCTCTGTTTTGAAACCTAGAATGATTGCAACGGATAATAGACTTTCTACCGAGGTGCATAATGAGCTTGTGTTTAATGGAAAGCTTGAATACTCTGTGTACCATTCCTACTGCATTGTGTCTGTCGTAACAACCCTGAATTGGTACCCACAGCACTGACAATAGTTTCCTTCTGGATTGTCCTGTAAAGTACCAGTGTTGCCACAGACTGCAGTACACTGACAAGACAACCTTTGCCATCCGTCTGCCAGTGCCCATTAATCTTCATGAGACATCAGGTGGATTGATATCACTATGTTGACTGATCAGCCGTGACTCTTCTCTTTTAATTCAAACTAAGTTACAGCTCTTCACAAGAGGAAGTTTATTGTATGGCATACGCGACACTGGAAATATACTGGTCCCTGAAGCAGAACAAATTTAATTCCAAATGTGACCAGAAGTTGGCAAATTAATCTTCAACATCTGTCACCTTATCTGCCAATGTCTGAGGTGTTGGGGAGGGAAGAGGGTTTCCTTATAATCCCTTTTAAAGTAAGGGCTTGTGGCAGGTATCACACTTGTTCCTTTAAAAATGCCTTCATCCCCTGTCCTACATGGTCTAAACAGAAAAGGTACATTTGTAGATGGATTCTTAACTTGAAATATTAAGCAAAATGTTATACCGATAGCCACGAATCCTCTGCTCTAAAGTAGCCAGTGTTTCCAACTGATAAAACTTTTTACAAACAGTTCAAGGAAAAAGAAACAGGCGTTGGACATGAGTTGCAGCACTTGGGAAGAGGGAAGCTATTTAGATAAATACAAAGCTGTGGCCTGTGAGGAAAACGGACACAAATACTCAAAGTATAATTAGTAGTCACACCTTGTTAACAATATGCAGCCACTTGGGTCAAAGTAGGCCTTGCATGCTAGAACCCGAAATCTGCACAAGCTCTAAGGACGCCTCACTCCATGTAAGGGCAGCTGTGTAACGCTGGAGGGGGAGTGGGTCTTCTCTCACATACAGGGAAATATCTAAGCATACAACTACCAGTTAACAGTCTAAAAAGTGAAGACATAAGGATTTATGTAGAGTGGAGAGGGTGAAGTCTCGCTCAGTTTGTGGGCTATCAGAGAAGGGCTGGTCAGACTCCAGATGGCCTTTGGGTTGGTGCTTTACATCACTTCATTGAACAGGTAACACTGGAGCAGAATATACATTTGGTTCGTTATTAGAGGAACTTCAGGAAGAGGTAACTTAAAATCTCAGAGAAAGGTCTGGCTAGTGAACATAGCGAGAGTCCTCTGGGAGAGGATGCAACAGTTACTGCTAGAAATGCTCATATTTTCCAGAAGGAACTTATAAACATAAGAGCTCTCTCAGAAAAAAATACCAGTCTCGGAAAAAGAAGTGAGCATGTGTTTTCCCAATTACATTTGTCTTGATAATTTCCTGTCAACAAGATATATGGAAGATCACTGTTTATAATGAGAGAACACTCTTATTTTCATATCTTTATTCTGTGTAGGTTATAGAGGACAGAAAGGGGAAAGAGGCGAGCCTGGAATTGGACTGCCCGGTAACCCTGGACCACCCGGCCCTGCAGGTACAAGTCTCCAGATTTATTTCTGCTATTGTTATTTATGAACTAACAGGCCTTTCTCCTGGTTTTCACACCGGTTTTACACCCATGCCTTTCCTCCCAAGCTTGGTCGTAGAATGAGGTCAGACCCACCTGCCTTCTCGCAGATGAGCTGGCGTGCAGCTGACTGTCAGTGATGAAACACGGGGCACTGCACGCGCTCTGGCGAGGACTCTGCTAATTCTAGCTTTGTTTTACCAGCTACTGGCCTGCCAGGCCCACCGGGAACACCAGGCTCACCCGGACCGCAGGGGCCACCTGGACCCAACGGAAGATGCAATCCGGCAGATTGCTATTACCACGTATCACAGGCTCGGTCACGCACCAGCGGGAAATAAAAACCCTCTCCCATAGACACCTGGGTTCACAGTCACTTTTCACTCCTCTCAATAAGTTAATTTAATCTTTGAAATACTTGGTGCATTTTTTTTCCCCTCGACACTGCATGGTATATAGATTATTTATAAGGCACAGAATTGAGCCTTTTTCTATGTTATTTGCAGTGTCGAATTATGAAATGATGACATATATTTTCCAGAGTGCATTCCATGTGTTATGTTTCTCATATTTATTTTGCTTAGAGGAGAAAATAAGCCCAAATAATTTTCATAAGCTTCTTTCTTCAAACAAAAGATATTTTATTATAACTTGAGACAGTATGTATGCCTCAGTATGTAAGCTGGCTTTATTTTTCTTGCTGGTGGTGAAGTTTAAGTGGAGAAAATGCAGTTCTGAAGTTTTAAAGTGTACCCCCTCATGGCGAATGCAGGACCTGAGCTGGAGCGCTCTGAACTCTGTTTAGACTAAACATTCACATCGAGGAGGCTCCGGCACACCTTCTGAACCAGGTCCCTGTCACGCACCACGAACGCTACCCACCGTTTCAGTCACTTCCTAGATGTTGAAGAAGGAAACGAAGATGCGTTTATGGTCTCTCTAACCCCATCCAACATTTAGCTTCAGACTGACTGGAAATTCGCCAGGTGTAGCCCCGAGGAGCATCTCGCCTGACTGGATGTTGTCCCAACTGAGGGCTTGTACGTTTGTTTAGTTATGGTTACGTATACTCCAGATATTAAACCCTTAGGGGCTGGTGGTGGTGTTCCTAGCTGAGAACTGGCACGTCTTCTAACCGTCAACGTGGAGTTAGTAAGTGTAGTACCACTGCCTGTAGCCAAGCTACTCTGCCGTGACGTCTGCTTACAGCAAAGACAACCTCTTGCTTTAGAGCAGAGGTGGTGGGTACACAGTGAGACAGTCAAAGAAGGAACTTCGCAAACCTCTATAATCTTACAGATGGCACAGTTTTCCTCTTCCTCCGGCAATAACTGTGTGCCAAAATAAACTTGAGAAGAACGTGGAAACAGTAGAACGTAAAACTCACAGGTCCTAATAACTGGCTGCAAAAAGTTGAGCTCAAGAGAAATTCAGAAAAATTACGAAAGCCTCCTTGGGAAGGTGTACTACAGAGAGCATGACTGCACGCAGTTTGCAGGCATTGAGTAAATGCTTCAGGACCAGACATTGTCAATGAAGAACAAAACAGAACAAAGTGTAAATCCTATAGAGCTCAAAGGGTTGAGCAAAAGAAAAGATGAAGAAAATCAGTCATACAGAGGCTGATTCTGAAAAGGAGGGAGGAGGGTGGGTGAAGTTTCACTCCTGATTATTAGGAAAGAGATGATCCTAGATTAGTCCTAAGGAATTCGCTACGGTGCAACGGAAAGTGAAGGTGCCATTGAGAGAACATGGACAGCTATAACCCACAACCTCAAAATAAACCCATAGTACAAAAGCAGCAGTGAGGGCTCTTGCCCCACCATTAGGAAGCCAGTCGTTTGCTCCCATTTCAGGCTGGTAAGCGGTTTTGGTGATCTCTGTGCTTGAGCAGTACTGAGCCGCCAGGGAAGCGTTCCCAAATTGGAAGTGCTGGTTCCAGAGAAGCTGTTGTGAGACTAATCTGGCTGACTTCTGGCTTTTCCTTAAAAACAGTAAGGAATGAATGGTGGGAGTCTTTTAAAAAAACAAAACGCATCAGCATTTGTTCTGAATAGAGTTCCTACCACTTGTACCCAGACCAGAGCAAGAGGTAATAGAGTTAACCTGGGTAGCTGGGGAGCACAGGCAAGCCTTAGCCACGCTTTCTGAGAGAGAAAGCACACCCTAAGAGCAGCCTCAGAGTGCCACTTAATGTGCTGATCGGTTAGGCGTTTGGAGGGAAGAAGGTGCTTGGCACCAGAGCCATGTTTATGTAAACACAGAGATTGAAGGCTGAGAGTAAACACCTGGAACAGGAGAGGGCAGCAGGAAGGAGGGTGGCAGAAACCTGTGGCGTACCATGAAACCATCCCCTGAAGGGAATCTGCGAGCTATAATACACCCTACAGCTGGCGACCCCTTGGGGGGGTCAGGGTGCTTTGCCTGTCCCTCGTGAGGATGGGGATGGACGGGTCAAAGCCCGCAGGCGAACCGCAGTCCTCAGGCCTCCCTTTCTGCTCCTCCCTCGCTGTCCCTCGGAGGCAGTAACTGCCCCTTCTCCAGGCCAGCGTGTCCTCTGCTCTGCGGGCGGTGGCGCCCGTCCCGCTGGGGGTGAAGGTGCATTTGGAACAAGTGGTCCCGCCTGTGCTTAGGTCAGAACGTGCTGCTCCCGTTCCAGACCTCCTGTGCCCATGGAGCACGTCTTGGTTTGCGCTGTGGTATCGACCGCCTTTCCAGATCTGGTCCTCGGAGCGCCGTAGCTGTGCGAACGCTGGGAACTGGCGAGGCGGCTTGAAAGCGAGCGCCTGTCTGTCCCGAGGCACCTGCTGCTGTCTGGGCCACAGGTCTGCCAGCCCAGCGGGTAAAGCCAGGAGCCTGGCACCAATGTATGTATCGGTGTGTACATACCCCACCGGAGGACCAGGCCCCGCATACTGTTTTCCATTCAGTCAAATGAACTGCTGGTCAGGTATCTTGCATGAACATTTTTTTCATTGATTTCTTTTTACTTCTTTAGTAATTCCAATATATGTAAAAATCTAAATATTTTTTTACTTCCTAAGTTAATTTTAAACTTGATTTTCTGTGATAATATCAAAAAGGGTGCTGTCTTGTAAAGAGTATCCGCGTGACTGAGAGGTTTCCAAGCAGCCCCCGTCCTGGAAGGCTGTTCGTAAGACTATTGCGCCGCATTAATGGTATGTGTATATTTTGGGGCTTCTAGCTAGCTGAAACCAAGCATCTGTTATTTGCCAGATGCAATTGCTGTATGTTAATTTACTTGAACTTATCAGAAAGCAGAACACTTTTTATATTTGAAGAAGTTTTATTTTTTCATCTACGTTTCCTACAGATGCCTTTTTCTTTTTATAGGCTCAAATCTAAAGGTCTTTTTAAAATGAATTTGAACACTTTGAATTTGTTTGCCGGTAGCTTTGGTAACTATCTTGTTGCGTTATTTTTTATTTTGCTAAAAGCCCACGCTAATTTTCTCACACGAGAAAACGGGTATTTTGTTATACGGGCTATCTCAATACCTTTTAAAGAACTACCCCACGTTCTTCACTGGGGTAGAACAGAGTTAATCCCAGCTTAACTTTACTTCACGCTGGTTTGCTCCTACTCTATATTTTTAGAATTGAAAGCCGAATGTAGCTGGAAACGTGCTTCTGCATGGTTTTCAGGTTTGGCCCCTGAAATTTCTTTGCAGTTTCAGGCTGATGTTGTCTTAGTTTTTGGGAAGGGGGCCGGGGAGGGCAGAGTGATGTTAATCTGTTTTGCAATTTGCTTTATCAGTTTCCTATCTGTTTTGAGCAGTCTGTGCTGCAGTACGCATTGCAAGGAACTAAACACGGAGGATTATTTTTTCCAGTAGCGCAAGATAATTTTTCTGATTTGGGAATGTTTACTTACAACAGGACTTTGACCTGAAATATCTTTGACAAAATGTTTTAAACCTTTCTTAAAAGCTTTCTAAGCATTGTTCTAGTTCAGGGTCAGACTATTATATTTTATGGCAAGCTGCGTTATCATCTGCTAAGAACATGTTGGGATTTTCTTCAAATAGCTATGTACGAACTACTCAGTTTGCCTAAGGAAAGTAATAAACTTGGTAAGAGGGAAACTTTCCTGAGGCTGCAACATACCTCTTTTTGTCCACACGGTGGAGTTCAAAACTTCTGTTCAGTACAAAGGATAAAGCCCAGGCTGAACTCGCTCAGCAGCGCGAGAAATGACCCGGTGCTGCACAGACTCGGCACAAGAGTCAGTGTTTCTGATTTTGTTCTTGAGCCTGACTTCCCCCCCCCCCCCCCCCCCCTTTTTTTTTTCCTTGTGTGATTTTCCCCCCCCAATCCATTGATTTTTGCATGGTAGTATTTGCAGAGATACTGCCTTTCTTGGATAATTATTTTCAGGTATTGTTGCTTAGATTCTATTTGTGTTTTGTACATACACACTTTACAGAAGAACATGCAGTATCCCGCTTTCAGGCATCATTTATGTCCACTGTAATGGTGTTTGTCTCTAGGGGAGCAGGGAGTCCGCTACAGTTAATAAAAATTACAGCAGCGTACTTTGTACGGTCAAGTAACAGTGCAGCCTACTTAGTAATGTTTTAAGAACCAATATTTTTGTCTTAAACTGGATTTGGTTTCAATGCTAAAAGAGCACTGTGATATGGAAACAGGATTGATTGTATCATCCATCCTCCCTTTATGTTTTATGATTGTGGATTATGACAGGTGTTAGATATGCACAGCTTTGTTAAATAAGCATATTTTTTAAATTAATGGATAATCATGCAAAATATTTTGGCGCTTCTTCTTTTTCACAAGGGTGAAATATTGTTTTTCATGTCAGCATACACTCATTTTTTTTCTTCTTTTTCTGTAATGTTTACATAAAAGTCCTGTAAAAATCCCACGGGCTAAACTAGCATTTTATAAACTTGTTTCCCCAAATATACTACGCCAAGCCACCCCCTAACCTTGCATTTTACCAATGCAGTAGAACTGCTGCTCTAACGTGCCATGTTGGAACATGAGAAGTATCTCAGGAATCAAAACAAAGTTGGTTTGGGGTTTTTTTTAATTGTGTTTTTGTTAGATTCTGGATGTACTGAGTCATGTAAATTTTCCTTGAAATCTGTTATGTCCACTACAACTAGATTGTACTGGTTGGATGTTTAAATCCATCTGCATACGTGTAGGTGGGTGTAGGCCACGGAGAAGTTTAACCGTGACCTTGCCTTGCTTGGTGTTTAAGGGGAAAACTCAAGCCTCACAATACCTTAGGGAAATGTGGTTTCCAAATATTAACTGCTAACAAACGTCACAGATTCTAGACCAAAATAAGTTTGTAGCTAAGAATGTAGTCTGCATGTCTTTTAGCAGTTTTATCTCCGAGTCTACTGTTCTACAAACACGAATGCATTTAATTATTTACTGAAGTTTCAGTGTAAATATATTCTGTCTCCAGTCAATATATTTGAAGGATTTTCAATGACATACCTTCTTTCATTATTTTCTTTCATTTCTGAATGATACGCAGCTGTCACTGAGTGAATCACAGTACGTGCCGACTGGTTGCTTCTTTCCTCCATTATATTTTTGGTTTGCAGCATTTAAGGTTCGGTTCAATGGAAATGTATTAAGTGGATAGAAAATTGCTTTTTACGTTATTATGTAGCCATTTACATCTGAAATGGGATTCTGGATGGAAATGGAAATGTTTTACGTACTTTCTGTATGTGGTTCTGTCAGAAATGACAACCTTTCCTTCTGTGTCAAATCACAAGGGGGAGGATGCGACTGCGAACGAGAGAAAGGAGAGGCACAAAGCCACCACAGCGAGCCCTGGGGAGCATTCGGCACCACGGCTGCAAGCCTGGGCTGGCTGAATTCGGGGCGGGGGGGTTGCTTTTGACCACACTGCGGTCAGGCTTGTGCTTCCTGTGGGTTGGTGAAACTTAGGGCTCCACAGTCTGGAGGGAAAAAAAAAAGTGAAAAACCTTGGCCTTACATATATACACATATATATATATATATATAAAAAAAATATATAGATATAAAATTTATGGAAGTTAATGTAATCTCTGAATCAGATGCAGATAACTTTCCTGTCTGAATGTGCGATAGGTAACTTTAGGTATTTTCATTGTTCTCTTGCTGCCTAACTCTCCCAGGAGAAAAAAGAGAACTCCCAGATCAATGGCATTTTAAAGGATGCTAGGTAATAATTTGACCACTAACATGATTTTCTTTCTTCAAATTTCATAGTGGCTTCAGCAAGTTTGCTTCATCTGTTGTCTAAGCTGCCACAGTTTTACTAGCCCTTTTGAATGCATACACAGCAAGCAAAACAGAACAGGGCTGAGGGGAGGGAAATAAAACTGAAGCCGTAACAAATCAGATGGGAGTAACGTGCCCTACAAAATAAAGACATTTCTTCTTTACCTGTGATCTGTGAGCAAAGGAGACGCAGTGACTGCATTTTAAGCGTAAAGGAACCAGAAACTACATGACCAAATAAGAATATAGTGATGAACAGGTCAAGCAAAGACATTTCACCCAATTACCTAAGCAATTTAAAAACATTTGCAAAAATGCAGCGTGTGTTTGTACGTGGAGCACAACTGCTAGGCTCTGCTGGGAGGAACCAACACTGTTGTCTCTGAAACTAAGGGACTCGGTTTCTTGTTTTCTCTCTCTTTCAAGTAACCTTGAAAGTACCATCTGTTGGCGCTTTCCCTTTTTGAAGGAAGAGCAAATTTTAGTTGCAGATACGTGTTTGGCTCTGTGTAAACTCCCGTCACAACTAGGGTATTCAGGGAAGCAAAATCGAGCAGAATCCTCCCGTGCCTTCCTTTCTTGCCTCACTTGGGTGCTCCAGCTTGTGCCTCTAGAGCCATCACTTCTCCTTTGGCTAGAGAGACACTTTGGCCTTTGTGAAATATTCACAGTTTGTACCTGGTTGCTCGAACCCAGTGGTGGCTGTAGCAGAAAACTTCTTATATATATACACACATATATAAACTATGTATGTATAACACACACATACATATATATAAGTATCTTAGTGCAGTATTTGGCAGCAGTGTTACTAATACTTGTTAGCAGCCTAGTAGGGAAAGCATTGCAGTCACCATTTTAAAATACCAGATTGGATTGTGAAGAATTGGTGATCATTGTGAGGACAGTTGTTAAACACTTTTCTCTTGGTTCCTGCCTACAATTAAGTCAAGTAATTGGGCAGCTAAAATATGTATTTATCACAGTGCAGTTCAACCTCGAGAATTAGGAGTGGCGGCAGAGATCCTGATGGGTAAAAGTGATTCTCATTAGTCTTTTGTTCAAAAAATCTCATAGCATTTTATAATGTTGAACCGGAAAGAGATGAGAACAAGATTTACTCGGGACTTCGCCGAGATTCCGGGAGCGTCTGGTTAGAATGGGTAACACGCTGTCAGTGGCTTGTGAAACCTCTCAATCTCTTTGCTTTGTGCCTTCTAAATATATTTATTTAAACTAGCACTATTTTTTTTGTATCACCATAGTTGATACGCCTTTCTTTTAAATTCATAATCCTGTCTTTATTTTCCAAATCTTTATTTACTTGAATGTGCTGTTACTAAAATTCAGTTCCTGAGATTTTTTGGTATACGGTCTACCATTCTTCAGATAAAATTCTTCCGCTCTTGCACAAGATTTGGAATTGGTAAATACTTAGATTAACCAATGTGTCCCGTACCGACTTATAATGGGCCTGAGGATTTATTCTTCAGTTCTGTATTTTAAGTTAAAACTCACGAGTCAGCTTGAAGGCAGAAAATCTGTCACAATCTTAAGCTATCCACTTATACAGATTCTGCATTGAATTGACCCTCAGTGTTGAATTTGTTTGATTGTAATGATTCTTATTTGGTTTTTACAGATGAATGTTTTCTCTCCTACATGAGTTTCTTTCCATTGTGGAATTCTGTGCATTTTTCAGACTCTATTTTTTAAAGCACTTCACACTTGTATTTAAATGTTGGGGTTTTTTTGCTTCTTTTGATTCATTATGTTATGCGTTGCATATGGAAAATAATATTTTCATTGTTATCAGTTGGGTTTTTTTTCTTTTTAAAAGTTTTACACACTTTATAGTCAAAATAAAAGTTTGCTGGTGAAACTGAAGTTTGTCACTACCACGAACGTTTTATTTGTTGCGCTACGTAAGGGGTACTTCTGAGGACCAAGCCCTAAACCAGTAAAAACTGACCTAATTCTAAAATTTTATGGAACACCCTTATGTGTGAACAATCCAACCATTGTCTGGATTTGTTTCTTAAGGATGAAATTCTTTGCACTCATCTATTCTGATGACTTCTTGTAATATTGAAGTAGGAGGTGTCGGTTATGAGAGAGTTTGGCCAAACTGGAGGTGCAGGAAAACGGTTCTGTCTGGGGTTTCGCCCAGACTCTCTGGGAAGGGTGGCACATCTTTATGCCTGTTTTCTTCCCCCATCTTTTCCCTGAGATCTCACCCAGTGCTACTTCTGTGGAACCAGACAGCAGTAGACACTTGTAGATAAAGACTTACTTGTAAAGATTCAACCTCTTTTATATTTTATCATATAAAATACTGGGCTGTGCAAGGGACATAGAATCACAGAATAGTTTGGGTTGGAAGGGACCTTTAAAGGTCACCTAGTCCAACCCCCTTGCCATGGGCAGGGACATCTTCAACCAGATCAGGTTGCTC